GAGAAAGCGAGAAAAGAGACGAGTTGGCTTCCAGCCGAGCGCGCGCGCTTATAGTACCTTATAAATACACGCTTAATTCTCGTCGTATCCATGCAGGATACCCTCGGTGTACAGCGCTCGTATGCGCGTGTACGTGTAAAAGGCAACCTCCTTCGATCCCACGTGTTGCACGGGGAGAAGGGTGGCGGCGGACGGCGGAGTCGAGGCGGCGGATGAATGAATGAATCTTAAGACAGTCGTGAGTGGCGCATTCACGAAACCGCGAGTGCGCCTTTGAGGGACGAGCTTTTTTTTTAGGGGACCTCGCGGCTTCTCCTCGCGTCGTCGCCATTTTCATCCTCGTCGCCGTCGTTCCTCCGCATTGCGCGCACCTCGCAATTGCGTTAAATGACCGTTTCGTTATAAGTGTTCGTGTGTTTTTGCGTGCCGCTTAACTTGTTTTCCTCCATCTCGCGGTTTTCGAATTTCCTCGTTTGTCGCATCTTCCCTTTTTTTTTTTTTTTGATTCCTGAGTTCTTTCGATTCTCCGTGGCGATTCGATTAACGTGATTGTCTGTCTGTCCAGGAGCGAAAGAATAATTGTATCGATTCTCAGAAGTAGCTGTGACACTCAAACACAAAAATTCCCGGAAAATAGAAAAAAATTTTGGAAAAAAGAAGGGAGATCACACAGTTCTCTCTCTGCAGGAATGAATCTTCACGAGAATGAAATTTTTAATGGAATTATTGCGCAGATTCTTCATTTCGAGAATGAAAATAGTAAAGTATATCGAAAGTTACATCCAAGAATAATTTTTGTTAATTATTCAGTGATTATTTAAGTATTATATTGCCGGTCAAATATCTGCATATAATATTGACGCATATATCGTTTGGGAAACTTCGATCGAGATTTGTGCGAGAGTGGAGTCCAGTGGAATCGCAATGCGTCGCTAACTGTGATTTGTTTGTGAGAAATTTTGCAGGACAAGGAACGCTTAGTTCAAGCAACTTTTAATTACAGATAATCGCACATTATCGACGAAGATAACTTGTTTTATCAGAAATATCAATTGAATTTTTTTTAACTTTATTTACGCACCTCCGTCATCAGCTTATTTGTTTCAATTGTGCGAGTTATTACGTTGTGTGATGGATATTCTTATCGAAATAAAACTATACATACATCGTTGTAAAAATTAGTCTGAATTGTGCTATAATATTACTAAAGTTGAAGAACGTGTGGTGATAGACTGAATCCTCGCAGAAAAAATATAGTGTATTTTGGAATGAACTAATTTTCGCCTTGCTCAAGTATTCTGTACCTATCTCGTAAGAGAACACATTCCCGCAGTTTAACTTGGCCATTAATGCTCCCAAGACCAATAAAATGGAGCTCCCGTGCAAGAGGAGGCATCTCTGGCAGCCGTGGCTTAATGTCGATAGCCTCCGACGGCTCCGACTGCCTTGCAAACCGGAAGGTATGTCATTTTGTAAAGCGCGGTGAAAAAACTAAATGGGAGGAGTCAAATAGACTTAAAACGAATAGAGAACGAATAAGAGAAGCTTATCATGAAAAAAATTTTAAATCTAAAATTAAAATTAAAATTAAAATTAAAATTTCTTAGTGAAAACGAATTACAATGTTTTTTTTTTGCGTCGTTATTCGGATTTGTTTGACAGAAACTGAATAATGTGATATACAGCAATACAGCGATACTTCAAAATGTTTATGCCTAGTTTAGTCGATTTTTGTTAACGTAAGATGTAATTAACCTGAGTAGCTTTCGAGTTGAAAGGAATGTCAGAAAGGAATGCCAGAAAGGATTTCCAGAATGACAGATACTTTAGACATGCTAAGATTCTGACATTCTGTTACATTCTAGAAATACAAGCAATAATACAACCATTCAACTTAAAATGGATTTTATCAATGAAAAATTTTGTTGGAATCTACTCATTAAAATGTAACTTTGTACCTAATGGTATATTTACTTCGCTGACAGAAAAATATTTGGTATTTGTGGTATTTGGTATTTATGACTATGATTGCATGATAAAATAATTATAGTTAGGAGCTCCATTTCTACAGTTATTACTGCTATAATGTCAGTAATAATAATTATTTTTATGGTTTTACCAAATAATAATATAATTGATACACTGAAAATGACTGTAAATTATGGTAATTGCAATCATTTTTTTCTTTCAATGTATTATATCATTGAAATTATAGATTTATCCATGTCCTTTATCCTACATTACTTAATTTAAAACTAAATTAAAATATTGAAATAAAGCAATTGCAGTTTCCACCGACATTTTTTCTAAACAACGATTCTCGTAAATTGATTCTAAATATTTCAAGATGAAAATTTTGATAATAATTGCCGTCGCACATCGCATCTTTCGGAATTGCTTTAAGATTCACAAATTTGCGCAAATAATTTTATGACACTGATGATCTGGCTTGGAGTTCGACTCTTCAGTTTTCTATTTTAGTGTTCGCTTTTACGATTGGCAATTACAAAATAATGCTGAATATAATAAAGTATTATTAACAAAATATATTGCGTTACAAATTATGTAATTAAAGATACATGTCGAACACCAAGCGATGTCGTAAGAGTGCTTTGCTCCTCTCATCAAATTTTGTTTTACGGACTAAAAAGGACTTTCGGCTCTTCTGATTTATCTACTGGATAGCTTCAGCAGCGGAAACGACGAGTCGCCCTATGATTTGGAGTCATAAAGGGACTCATGTGCGCGTTCGTTAATTATCAGCGGCACATATCGAGAAGTTAACTGACTCTCGAGGCAACCCTCCCGTCCCGCTTCCGTTCATCCCGGTCCATTCATCTTTTCCCTGCGATATACGCGTCTCTCTAAACCAGTTTCGCCATCTTGACGATCCTCTCACGGCTATTAGGCACTTCCTGCCCATCCTGAGAACCGAACATGTTTTTACTACCCTCTTCCTTCGTTGTCCTCTTTCTCAATCTTCTCATCTTCTTGCTCTTTCTCAACCGATCGTAAAGGGTTGTCTCGCGTTTGATTGACTTTCCAATTTTAGATATTCCGTCGCACGGAAATAGACGACCCTCGCGATTTCCGATAGATTTCGATCGATAATGCTGCTCATCGCGAAGTGTGGTAAATAAATGTAAAAGAGGAATTCCAGATATGTGTGCTAGCTACATTACTAGCGAAAGTTGCGGAATAAAAACAAGGCTCGGTATAGCGGTCGATGTAACGATCAAACTTGCTACTTTTCATGTATACGAGCGCTTTTGTTTATAACACTCTCTTGTCCAAACGGACAATACCAAACGAAAATATTTACAGCCAGTCGCTTTCTTACGTTTCCCTCTTCTCCCAGCGAGGTCCCCACTTTTGACTGTCGAATAACATTGACATTCCTCACATTCCTTCCGTTTTATAGTACAACAATGGCAGGGAAAACGTTAGTTTTCTTTGGAGGTTCAATGCGTACATTTCGTGTTTAAGTACTCGAAGGCGTAGCTCGTCTCATATTGCTTAAATTAAAACGAAAAGATTGGAAGTCCGAAGTAAATTCAACTCAGAACGAAACATTGGTAAAGTAGATATCCTCGCTACAGTAAATTGAACGCGATCGGTATAATAAATGATAGTCAATCGAGATGACGAATAGAATTCTTCGTGATCTATCTGGAACAGGCCTGTTCAATTTAAGCTCCGGATCCAAAGTGCAAAGCCATCGACGCAAAAAATTCAATGTGAGTAAGATTTCGGGGATCTGAGTGACGCTTATCAATACTTTACAGTCCCTGTAATCTTACATTGTATTTTCTTACATGACTTACGATGACTTTGCGTTTTGGTACCGGAGCTGAAATTAGACAGGCCTGATCTAGAATATCTATTTGGATCTTCGTTTGGATTGATAGAGCCGATCATCGTTTTCCTCGTTAAGAATTTCCATCTCAAGGAATAATGTCGTTCATAATGATGTCTTTGTATATTGCAGAGGAGAGATCGAAGGTGACGAATCTGCATCGAAAACCAAGCAGCGCCTGGCGTAAGGACCGTAGGAGAGATCCGATTCAGAGCGAAGCGTTGGACATGTCGAGAACGAATCATCATCACAATCGACCGAGCGTAATCGTTCCTCCTACGACGCAAGTTGGTAAGCAGTCGTTAATAATGATTAACCCCTAAAAAGAAAGAAAATGTAATTAATATATTTTTTGATATCGATTAAAATAAAGTATAAATCAAAATTTTGACTTGCACAAAAGACATTATTTCGTTTTATCATGACTGATGACGAAAAATTTCGATCTTGCAGAGTTTCAATATCGAACATGCGAGAATCTTCTGTCAAGTTACAAAATTCTATACTGCGAACGAATGAAGATTTAATTTCAATTCGTGCGGAGAAATAAATATAAAGTTTCAGTATTGAAAAAAGTGGTAGATTGACATTTCAGTTGAATTCATATTTTGTTTAGCAAGTTATTATTTTCATTAATTTTGACTTTTCAGAAGAATAAAGTAAAGTGATTTGTATATTTATATTAATGTCGAAATGAAGATGTAATTACGGAACGATTAAATACTGAAGATTTCGAAATCCGAATTAATATTTGTAGCTGCAAATGGATAGCGAAATATTCGTTTGAATTCTGGTATAACGTAAACTAATCGGATTTCAATTAAATTTTATTACATAACATGAAACATTTTATATAAAAAATAAATTTGCATTTAACTGATCTTACGCCAGAGTTTTGAACTATTCGAAATATTTTTACGGATTTCGACCGATTTTTACCGGTTCGACTAATAATGGATATTCTGACCGCGTCGTCGTTAGGCATCTCCTCTAAGTCTCTATTGTCGTCAGGGGTGTCTGTGTAGGGTGTGTTTTACGACAATGCACCGCCTGCTGCACTGGGATGCTGTACAGATGCGAAGTATTTTTAAATGGAAATACGGTTAATCCCTCGATGGCAATGTGACATTCCTTGCATGTTAATGTTTATTTTCCTAGAACATTCATCATCGTATTAGTTACAGATTAAGTTACAGACGGAATTAATGCTGTAACGGATATTTATTTATTATGATAGCAGTTGTAGTAGATTTATCATTCGTAGAAATTTATTTTTTTATACTAGAAATAATAGCAGGGAAGGGGGTTTATATATCTGATAGATCATGTAAAATATTAGGGATGCACCGGATATCCGAAAAGTATCCGGTATCCGACCGGATAATTGGATATCATTAATATCCGGTTGAAATTTGATATCATTAAATTGTTGATACTTTATTATATAAATATTCTAGAAATAAATATGCATATTCATAATACTATACTGTCTCATACATTGTTGCAAAATTTCAATTTTTTCCTTTATAGGTGTTTTTTTTTTAGAAGACATTTTTCCGAAATCCGGTCGGATATCTGAAAAATGTCGAATATCTGACTCGAAGAAATTGCCTTCTCGGACATCCGACCGGATATCCGATGTTACATTCTGTTCGGATATCCGATATACGGTTATTTTACGATCCGATGCATCCTTATAAAATATTATTTAAGTAATCAGTTAAAACGTCATTAATACTAAATATACCATTATTATTTTACCATTATTTTAATAATGATATTATGTTATATTTTTTTAATCTAATCGAAAGATCTACTTTGAAAAAAAACGTTGCGATTTTCTAGATTCTTGTTGAAAATCGCTTAACTTGTTTATATACGTTCACAACTTTTATATTTTTTATTTAAAATCCCTTTTTAAAATTATATCTATCTTTTGTAATTTATTAATTTTTATATGACGTATAAAATATTATCAGCTAAAATATAATTATTATAATAATATTATATACCATTATGATATTTTCATAATGATATAAAATTTCTTTAATCTAATCGCTAAAATGATGAAAATAACATTTAATTAGAGTTAACGTACATCGATTAAGATATGATAAAAAGACTTATCCTTTTTTTAGGTATCACAATCGAGGACTCTACTATGACGTCGACAACAACGTCTACCACGGCGTCAGGCGGACAGAGAACCATTATAAGGACGACGGGTGGCGTCTACGTTAGTGATCCCGCAATCGATGAGCATTTCAAGCGGTCTCTGGGTCCGAAAAAGTACGCGGCCGTCTTCAACGCCACTACTACGGACAAGGAAACTGGATTGAGTGGTAAATACAGACAAATATTAAACATATGTCCCGTAAAGGGTAAAATAGACGCGACGTTCTGGATTCAGCATGGACCGGCCTTGGATAATATCTTCCATGGTCCAAGCTGGACTAATCTGGATCCAGTCTTGTCTTAGCTTCGTCTTAGCCCGAATCTGTCTTAAGCATTCTTTGCGTAGTTGACGATCACTTTGCGAAAGCACTCGGCGAAACCTGGACGAGGCTTCAGGCAGTCAATCGAACTAAGGAGTCCTAACCACCGGATAGATTTGCCAGAAATCTTGTCATCCTATTCGTCATCGTCCTCGTTGTCCTCATCGTCGCTTGACGATTGTGGTAACCCACTCGGGTGAAATCGTTCCGCTAAAGATACATTAATGATAAGTCGTAATCAATAAGAATTAGCTGAATTCGCGACTATATTCGAGGAACCTGCGTCCAAGTAAAACTACAATTAGAGGATAAATAAAGGAAATGAACGCACACGTTAGGATACAATTTCATAAAAGGATCTTCAAACTGGATTTTTGTATTGATTTCGATATTTCGGGAAAAAGAATATAAATAAACAGTTAAAAAATGATAGACTAAGAAATCACTAAGTATCTAGTATTTCGAATATTAAATTTATCGATTCATTCTTCAAGTATAAGTTACATCTTTTACAAATGAAACTCGAATCTGGCTTTATTTATTTACAAATAAATTAAAATCCGGATTATAATTTTTTCTTACATCCGACTTATATGTATATGTTTCTTTATTCGGTTTATATACTGTTTCTTTATAAATAAATCCGGGTTATAATTTTTCATATATCCGACTTACACATACTGCCGTCGAAAAATTTCCGGACATGGAACTTGCATAATATTTAGGTCACCGTAACTCGGTAAAAAATCATCGCAGACAAAAAAATAAAAAGCATGCTAAAGTATAAGTTTCAAGCTTTAAAATGCTGTTTTATTTTTTTGTCTGCAATAATTTTTTTACCGAGTTACGGTGACCTAAATATTATGCAATTTTAATTAAAATTGCATAATATTCAGATCACCGTAACTCGATAAAAAATCATCGCAGACAAAAAAATAAAAAGCATGCTAAAGTATAAGTTTCAAGCTTTAAAATGCTGTTTTATTTTTTTGTCTGCAATGATTTTTTTATCGAATTACGGTGATCTGAATATTATGCAATTTTAAGTTCCATGTCCGGAAACTTTTTGACGGCAGTGTATGTTTCTTTATTCGATTTATATACTTTTTCTTTTTTATTAAGCGTCTTGTAAAATTCGTAATCATATACTTATACACTTTTTCCATCTAGACTTTTTCGTAGATATTTTGTTTTAATTGGTACATACTGCGTTGTATAAGGAGGGTATCAAGTGTCCTTGATCTTCTCGTTTTTCAACTGGGCTCGTTGTTGTCGCTTTTTCGTCAAACACGCGTATAAGACATCAGAAAGGTTGGCTTGTACGTTATATTTTATACGGGCGAATTTAATATTATTGTATATAGGCACACAATATTCCTTATTACGCCATCGCCACAGTCATTACAGTATAGTTCCGAGTTGTGTATGAATATAAAGTTATTTATTATAATGTTTCATACTTCCTCGCAAAGTATAGTATGTTTATACTTATATATGTGTATGTAATATTTACTTATTGCTAGTAAGCGTATAACATTACACTCGTGGAAAACAATGATACGATCCCTCCTAATACAAATAATTTCAATAAAGTGTCAGCTATTTTTTATAATTCGATCATGTACAATTCGCCAACCGAATGCTCGATTGGATATCGTGAAATTTTTTCTTTTAATTAAATTGAATGGAGCTATTAATCACCATTGAATAAATTTGACAATTAAAAATAATAAATATTTACGCGATAACTGTTGCGTATTTAATTATGCTCGCAAAGCAGAAGCATGTGTCGCGTGGACAAAATAATTTAGACAACTGTGACGCTTAATTCGTCCCAACTAGGGGGAATTGACCATGGGTGCATATATATTATAATAACGACCGTTATGCCGGAGAGATCTGGTGAGTGAGACTTATGGGAAGCGAGTAGACACAACTATATAATTTAACAAAGCAGAGCACCATGTTAGTGAATCGAATAAATATCATGTAAGCGTCACGTCTTTGAACCACGGTGTTGCTCAAAGCTGCAAAGAGAAAAACAATCGAAGATATGTACAGGCAAACGATGATTATAGTGATGTATGAAGAAGATTAAAGGGAAAAGATGTTTAATTATTTTCAGCGTGCGTTATTTTCTATCCTATCTTTCTCGATCCCTCGATAGAACAATTGCATCTGCGTAAAACGCAAGGAACGATCCAGTTTCGCTCCGCATCCTAATTGCCGAATGCTAAGAAGAGTAGTACTGATTTCTAATGGTGCTAGGAAGTCCAGCACATACCCCAGCACGCACAGAAGTCAGTACCTCTACTTTCTTATATGCGAAAATTATATTGCTCTCTACCGTTGTAAAATGCGTTGCGTAAATTGATAGCGAGTTTTCAAGTAGGATTGTCTCGAAAGCCCTACTACGAGGTGATTCGTTGGAGGAAAGTCAAGTATCTGTGGAAAACTATCTCTCTTTACGATATTAAATAATACGAAACATAATTAATATAAAAATACATTGTGTAATATGGTTCAAATAATATAAATTAATAATAAATGTGTTGAGAAGGGCTACGAACTATAAGAAAACAGAGTGTGTAAATAATAGATATAATTTAATTAATAAGAACTAAACAAAATTGTAAAAACAAAATACAAACGGCGTTTCGAGCCCAATCGAGTCATTCTCAATGTTAAACATACAAAAGTGATAAGTATAGACATATTTAAATTATGAACGGTTTAAAACTAATAGAATTGAAAAAAGTAAAATAATAAGTACAGACTTCTAACGGATGTATAATGGTCACTTGATCGCACCCTGACTTATCAGGCTGATATTAAATTCAAGACAATGTTATTGCGCGTGTCATGAGATGTCAATATAAAAGACTCCTTATTTAACAATGTTATTGTGCGTAAGAATAATGATTCGTTACAGAAGTATCGCAATTATAGTAGTATAAAGTCGAAGTCTTGAAATTTATAAAGTATGTTATAGTGTCCAATAATAAAAAATCTTTAATATCTGTCAGAATACAAGAACTTTTTATGTCGATCGAAATTAAAGATTGAAGCAAATTGCGAAGAAACGTCTTAATTGTTTCGCTGAGAAATACAAAGTATGAAGTAATTAATATTATATAACCAATTATTTGGTTTTTTATAATTAATAATAATTACTAAATATTTAAAAAAGTAAAATTATTTTTGGTTACATTAATCGAACATTTGATTGAAATTATTTCGCTCATTTAATAACTATTCTTTTTTCACATTGCACTACATCGAACAATTCTTAAAACCCATTTTGTGTCTTCGAATGCGAAGAAATCGATTTTGTGTAATGGAATATTTACTTTAATTTCTACTGACCGAATTATCCCTCATGGTGCTATACGTACCTCTTTTCGACACGTTTCAGTAGGTGTTCATCCCGTTTCGGCGATTTCGACCGGCTAAAGAAGATGTGAACGATTAGCTTTCCAGGCGAATAACGTGGAGAACGAACGGGGATGCATTTCAAGTGCGAGAAAGCGCAATGGGTGGGTCCAGATGGGACTTCCAGGAATTCGTGCTCTTTCCCCTTCACAATCGAGAACGCGACCAATGGCGAAAGGAGCTCGTCCCGATATTTCGAGGGAGACTAACGCGAAAGAGCAATGCCGTTGATCCGTCGCGAAACTTTCCCTGGAACGGACGAATGTTGTTATTCGTAGGTGGGCCCAGACGAACGGGACAGACTGTCCCGGGAGTGCTCGGATGGCTTCCTATATGCAGGCGGTCTGTTCACTTGCCGTAAAGCAAAGTGGTAACTTAATATTAGAGCTGAATATAAGTACGGTAATCCCACACCCGAGTCCAAAGTAAGTCTACACCTTGTATCCTCCCCTCCCGTCTCTCCCGCGCCCTCAGTCATCTCCGGACCCCGTTTCCCTCTTACTCCGGAGTATCTCGAGCGTAATAACGCGACGGGATACTAGATATCGACGGTACTCTCTACGCCAAGTGCAAATTGCCACCATCCTCCTCTCAACCTATTGCAGTCTTTCATCCTTGTCTCTCTTCATGTCTGTCCCTTTTCCTCCTTCCCTCCTATCTGTACCTAACGATGGTCTTATCTTTCGTCATTCGCGATATATAGCCTTAATATAATTATTAATTATCAAGAAAACTGTAATTGTACATTGAAAAAAAGTATTAAATTTTAATAAATCAAATCCGACAAACTTTATTAGTACGCAGTTTATAAAACTGAAATAATATATGTATTTGCAAAAATTTGCATTTAATATTATTAAGCACTAAGATCCATTTTGACCGAAAATAGGATTACTAATTCTATTAACTGATTTATTCTCGTCTAATTCCGATTTTTATTATTTAATAAATCATTTGTTTGAATAGTACCAACTAAATTTACCTATTAAATATAAAGATTATTTGTTACAAAAACCGTTAATTTGATTTAATTATCATTTTTTTATTAAGTAAATATTTACTGTAAGTAAATATTTAGTTGGTACTATTTAAATTTAAAATTTAGTATATTTTTTTCAATGTACAATGGATTATATTATTATTTATTATTGTAACGTGACGGTATTCAATTTGAACGTTGGCCTTTTAAATTAGAATCCGAAGATTTTTCAGACTTCTGAATAATTAAATTTTTATTACGAGGTGAAATTGTTAGCTTCATGCCCCAATTTCTCACTATCTTGGAGAATCTTGTACGAATTTAAATTATGTATATGGAATGAGGGATCGAACCTGCCAATTACGAGTCCATCGCTCGCATGCAAAGCCACGCGACAACCCAACATGATTTATATACAAAATAAATGAGTAATAAATGCAAAAATATTAGCATACAATCTACGAAAAGCAAAGCTTTATTGTTGCAACTTTTTCCGAAAAATATTACAAAAAGATTATTTAATTACAAAATTATGTATTTATTTAATTGCAAAAAGAATTTTATTTTAGTAAACTCGAATAACTGATATATTGAAATATGGTTCCTTGAAATGGATTAATTATTTTTATTTTCTTTAGCAATAACTTTTCTAATCAATCTTTTGTAAAACTGAAGTTTATATAGGATGAGGATCGAAATCGAACACAGATAACTGTTCTCACACGAAGTCACGTATCAAAATTTCATTATTTTTTTAAATTGGCTGTAATTAGATTGTAAATAACAGATTGTAAATGAATGTTGGATTTCTTTTCAAGAATATATCAAATTTTTATTTACTTTGGCTTGAATATCTATATCGGCACAAAAACGAAAAATTTCTAAAATGGTATCATTTATTACGATTACATTCGCATAATAAATTGTGCAATCATATCGTTGTAATAAATCCTTGTCTT